GGAAGTAAGGCCAAATTTAACAACAACAACAACAAAGAGAAAGCTCAAACAGTTCCTATGCATATTTAAAACAGTTCTACTCAAAAACAAAAACTATAATTATGAGAAACAAAAAACTAATAACTAGTTATCAACCCTAGTAAAAAAGAACAAACTTTCAACGGAATAAAGTTTATTTCCATGGCCTTAAAAACTGCATAGTTGGAACATAAAAACGAGGCAAAAAATATTTTCTTGAAGATATAATAAATGACATCGCTGTATCAGCAAAAATAAGTTGGTTTTTTCGCTATATTCTTCTAAAAAACTTTTTTGAATAGGAAAGTCTTTCGAACTAATAAAAATCAGATTGTAGTAAGCTGTTAAAAGAAATGTTTGTGTAGTTATGTTTATCAACTGTGTTCCACTGTTTATTCAATTTCGTAAAATTAATGCATAACAAGAAAGTAATAACCTCAAATTTCTCACGACTAACAACCGCTTGGTTTCCCTCAACTTCTATAACTGGACTGATTTGCTGTAGGACTTCCACGCCAGGTTCACTAGACCGCTTTACTTTTGAGTTCGCTGATTTTACGTATACACATACTACTTCTTGTCGTTCTTGAGCCAATGAGTTGAAAAGGATTATTTCCCTGAAACTGTATCTTCCTAAAACCAAAAATAAAACTAATCTGAGCCGTTCAAAGTATAAATTACCACAACACAAGAAAAAATATTAAAGTACAAGTGGTAAACAAGTGTAATCAAAAAAGCGTCATATAATAAAAAAAAAAAATAAAGAAAATAGAAGAAGATAGATAAAGCAAGAAAGAATAATATCAATAATAAGTGAAGCATATTAACAACAGGTAGCAAACTGCGCAAAATTAAAAGAATACATCATCAAGTTCTGTAAAAAAAACCTCACCATATAAGACAAAAATGAATTGAATAATTCCAAAAAAGTTATATATCAATAACAAATTCACAATACCTTCCCTCCTCGATGACCAATTTAGTAGGATATTTGTCATGAGACGTCCAATTTGCATCCTGTAAACAATTTTTAGCTCAAATTATACCCCAAGTGAAAAAAAAAA